AGAATGCGCATTTCTAGATGGGGAAGAGGCAATGGGGAGTTATTGTTTAATTGGCACAGAGTTTCAGTTTTGCAAAATGAAAATAGTTCTGGAGATGGATGGTAGGAATGGCTGCACAACAGTGTGAATGTACTTAATGACACTGAAATATACACTAAAAATGGTTAAAATGTTAAGTTTTATGTTGTGTGTGAGTTTGTTTCTCCACCAGAAAAAGAAAAATTAAAAGGACAGTCTACAGAATGGGAGAAAATATTTGAAAATTACATGTCTTATAATGGATTAATATCCAGAAGGTATAATGAGCTCCTACAACTCTACACCAAAAACCAAATGACCAAATCAAAAATGGGCAATGGGCTTGAACAGATATTTTTCCAAAGAAATGGCCATAAACACACGAAAATATGTCAACATCACTCATCATCAGAAATGCAAAACACGAGATACCACTCTACACACTTTAGAGTAGCTATTGTAAAATAATCAGGGGGTGCCCGGGTGGCTCAGTTGGTTGATGTCCCACTCTTGATTTTGGCTCAGGTCATGATCCCACAGTCATGGGATTGAGCTGTGCTTCGAGCTCCACACTGAATGTGAAGACTGCTTGGGATTCTCCCTCTCTTTCCACCTGGTCCCTGACTCATGCTCTCTCTCTCAATAAAATAAAATAAAATAAAATAAAATAAAATAAAATCGGAAAAGTACAGGTGCTGGCAAGGATGTGGAGAAATTGGACCCCTCGTGCACTGTTGTTGAGGACGTGAAATGGTCCAGCTGCCCAGGGAAAACAGTTTGGGTAGTTCGTCCCAAAACTAAATATAGAATTACCATATGACCCAATAATTGTACTTGTGGGCATATATACAAAAGAACTGAAAGCAGGACTCAAACAAATATTTGTATACAAATGTGCACAGCGGTATTTTCCTCAGTAGACAAGACGTGGAAGCAAACCAAATGTCCACCTGCAGATGAATGGATACAGGAAATGTAGCATATACATATACTGGAATATTATTTGCTCTGGAAAAGGAATTAAGTTCTGGTACACATTATATAGATGAACCCTGGAAATATGCTGAGTGACATAAGCCTGATGCAAAAGGACAGTGTGTCGTCGGACTTACATGGGGAGAGTAGAATAGGATAGTTCATGGTGACAGGACTTGGGATGGTAGTTGTCAGGGGCTGGGGGTGGCACACTGTATAGGAGTTATTGCTTAATGGAAGAAGGAAACATCCTGGACATGTATAGTGGTGATGGATGTCCAACAATGTAAATTCACTTAATGCCACTGAAGTCATTGTATGCTTAAAAATGGCTAAAATGGTAGGGGCACCTGGGTGGCTCAGTCGGTTGGGCGTCTGACTTCAGCTCAGGTCACGATCTCATAGTCTGTGAGTTTGAGTCCCACGTCAGGCTCTATGCTGACAGCTCAGAGCCTGGAGCCTGCTTCCGATTCTGTGTCTCCCTCTCTCTCTGCCCCTCCCCTTCTCATGTTCTGTCTCTCTCTGACTCAAAAATATATAAAAACATTTTTAAAAATTAAAAAAAATTTAAATTAAAAAAATGGCAAAAATGGTAAATGTTATGTAATGTGTATTTACCACAATTAAAAAAAAAACAGTTTAAAGACAAAACAGTAAGTGAAAACATTAGTCTTGGAGAACATAACCAAGACATCATAAAAGTTTGGCTCCAGAATTCTTTTTTTTTAACGTGAAATTCATGGTCAGATTGGTTTCCATACAATACCCAGTGCTCCTCCCAACATGTGCTCTTCTCAATACCCATCACCCACCCTCCCCTCCCTCCCACCCCCCATCAACCCTCAGTTTATTCTCAGTTTTTAAGAGTCTCTTATGGTTTGGCTCCCTCCCTCTCTAACTTTTTTTTTTCCTTCCCAAAATTCTTTTAAACATTGGTTGGAGAAGCTTCTCAATGTATGTTCTCTGTAGATTCCTTGCGGATGTGACCGGAATGCCACCTGGATCACAAGTGCCTTCCCTGTACGGGGCCCTGCTAGGGCCACCCTGTGGGCCCGCTAGCCCCGTGGTCACCCCCACCTTTTCTCTTCCACCCTGGCTGGAGTGTCTCGCCAGCCGCTCGGCTCTTCTCTTGTCCCTTCCACACTCTCTCTACTGGTTATCCTATTTTCCTCGTGATTTCAACATCAGAGATTCTAGTTTCCATGGTGATGTCTTGAGAGGTTTTGTCTCTTTCAAGTCTTTTTGCATTTTTTCCAGTTTGCATTTTTGGCTCTCTCTTTTTTTTTTTTTTTTTTGTCCTCGTTGCTGTTTTGACTAGGTTACTCCCTGCCTGTCATTATTGGAATTTTAGTCTGAGAATACCGGGAAAGTGCACAGATTACCCTGAAACCAAGGCATTTAAGTTGCTGCCTGATTCTCATGAGTGATGCTTTGGGACTCACTCAGTGAGGTGTGGGCGCTGTGTCCCTGGCACGCTCACTCCTGCAGCGGCCTCGCCAAGGCCTGTGCAGAGAGAGGCTAAGGGCCAAAGGCTGGCTGGCATTCTGTTCGGGACTTGCAGTCTTCTGCTCAATTGGTACGGCATTCAGCAGTGCTTCCAGCGATTCCATCCAAATGGGGACAGCTTATGTGTGGTGCTCTCTCTGTGTACACACTGCATTAGCAGGTGTATTCCTGGCAGCACAGAGCACACATCCTGACCTAAACCCTCGCTTGTAGACCTGCTTCTGGCTGGTGCCTCCAAGCAAGTTGCCCAGATGGCTAGCGATTACTCACCTCTTAGCAGGGAGCCTACTCCATGTAAAAAGGTCTCTTTAGCTGGGTCTCCAGGGGCCCTGGATGGCAAAGGAGGGTAACAGAGGACAGATAAAACATTCAAGTGATGCAGGCGCTAAAGGCCACAAAGATGCTCTGGCCCCGACTGCAGCTCTCTCAGCTTCTTGCCAGAATACAGGGCCAATGACAGCGGATGAACCACTCAGGTCCCTCTTGTCACTGTGGGGCCTGACAGCACTCGGCACACTGCAGCACTCAGTGAATAGTTCTCACATGCTACATGGGACGAATGTGGTTATGTTCAATCATTCTTAAATTCCTGGGATAAAGTGTACTTGGGTGGATGTATGCTGTTTCTGGGACAAACTATTTGACCATGCCAAATTGCAGTTTTGAAAACTTAATACCTCCAGCGACTTAAATTAACACATTAGTCATACACTGATTTCCCACATGTACTTGGGCCCCGTTTTGAGTGTCTTATGCACAGACACACACTATCCCGTATCCATGGCCTGTTATAATGATGCAACATTTCAGTGTCTGCTGGGGTAATTCCCCCCATGTCACTGGCCTTCATATGTAGCTTTATTCCTCAGTGTTCTTTCTTCTGTTTTGATATAAACCTCAAAATCAACTATTTAGCTCCAGAAATACACACACATGTGCGCACACACACATGCCTGCATGCACACACACATGCACACACACTCATGCACACGTGCATGCATACACTAGGGTTGCTTTGCCTGAGAAAGACTGTGTTAACATTTGTTCAAATCTACTTTTTCTTGTTCTTTCTCCCTCCCCACCCCCAACAGGAGCATTTTAAACATTTCCTCATATGGACGTTCACATTTCTTGTTAAGGCTGTAGGTATCTTCTCTCTTTCGCCGCTACTGTAACAGGTGTCTTCCCTTCTGCTATGTCTCCTGGCCAGAACCCGTTCTGCTTTTGTCATGTTTTGTCTGGTGACTTTACCGAGTATTCTTACCATCTCTGGGAGTTGCACATTGTCCTCTTGTGTGCTCTGGATGTGCTCTAAGTTTTCTGACATAGTTTTAATGTCTCTTTCCTGCTTGCCTGGATGGTTCTCTTGTGCAGCTGTGGCGGCTGCTGTTCCAGTGGTGTGAAGGGTCAGGAGACACAGGAGCGATGTTCCTGTGACCCAGCCTTAGCAGGAATGCACTGTTTCCCCACCAAGGAAAGGACGGCTTTTAGGCCAAGGCAGCGTGTACCTTACTAGCAATAGCTATCTTTACTTTCTTTCCTTTTATTTTTGGAAAATGGGTTTTGAATTTGTTAAAAGCCTCTTCATTAATATTAGTCTCATTAAGGAAGTAATTAATATGTGAATTACACCTATGGGGTCCTTGCATTCCTGGAGTAAATCCTACTTGATTACAACGTGCTATCTTAAAGTTGGATTCTGGCGGCTAGTCCTTCACCAGGACTTCTGAACTGTAAGCTGGACTGTGGCAGTCCCCTGCTTACGTGTGGTCAGGTGTGTTCACGCACGTGCACCACCAGGGTGAGTCTGGAAGCCCCTCCCCAGTCTGCGTGTGGGCTGCGTAGCAGCACAGGGATAGCCCTCAGCAGAAGGTTTGACAGGTTCCCAAGGAACCCTCAACCAAGGGCTTTTACATTCCTTCTGAAACGTCTCCACTTCTTCTCCAGACTTTGGCCTATTTGAACCTTCCATCTCTACTGTGGTTACCTTTGGTAAATTACTTTCTTTCTAAAAAGTGAAATGTTTCATTTTAAAATTATTTACATAGAATTATACAATACCTTTTATGATTTCAGAGATTTTTTTCTTTAATATTTCCCCCTTGTCATTTCTTGTTTTGTGTATTTTTTGCTCTCAGCTTATATCTTTTTTTAAATGTTTATTTATTTTTGAGAGAGAGAGCGAAAGAGAGAGAGAGAGAGACAGAGTGTGAGCAGGGGAGGGGCAGAGAGCAAGGGAGACACAGGATCCAAAGCAGGCTCCAGGCTCTGAGCTGTCAGCAGAGCCCAACGTGGGGCTCAAACCCACAAACCACGAGATCATGACCTGAGCCAAAGTCTGGCACTTAATTGACTCAGCCACCCAGGGGCCCCAGCTTATATCTTGATGAAGTTAGTGACTTCTTACTTTTTGATTTTTTTTCCAAAACCAGATGTTTAGAATGTTAGTTTTGGTGTTTTCTTGGCATTTGGCCCCCTGATTTCTGTGTTCATCTTTTTAGTTCTTCCGAATGCCTACTCTCAGCTCACATCTTTCAATTTTCATATTGGAAATGTGGGTACTTAAAAACTCTTTGACACTGACAGGTCTGAGCATTTAAAACTCTGCTGGCTTTGGCTGCACCTGGATTCAATGTCCCAACACTGATGGCCGGCTGGCCTGTGCTTCTCCCCTTGCTGCCTGTCACCCTGATAAGGCCACTGAGTGCCAGGCGATATACACACTCTGTCTTCGTGAGGGGGCCTGTGCTCTGAGTGGACAGACGACAGCACCTCCGGGATGCTCACTTGGTAAACATTTAATATCTTACCACATCTCAGCCCAGAGCACTGGGCCCTTTTGTGGTGAGATGTGGCCCCACATCTGGGCCTGGCCGGTGGCCCTCACAACATTAACAGGACAGTCAGCATGGTCACAGGGACACTGAGGGTGGCGCATAGCATGGAGGAGAGGGTGGGGAGTGGCTGAAGAGGCAGGGGTGTGTGCTCTATGTGATAATGGATCCACTTTGAGAAATAGGAGACCCGCGCATAAACTGCAGGATACATAGGGTATGTGCAGCCACGGCCCCAGCTCACCACTCCAACCTGCAACCAGGTGTGGTTGAATTCACAGACGAGTGGGCCGCCAGAGTCACCCTGGAAAAGAGAGGGGGTTCCAGTGAATGGGGAGTTCAGGGTCTGCAGCCTCCTGCATCCCACACACTCAGCCCCACTTTGCCGGTGCCAAGCTCTGCTGCAGGCGGGCTGTGCTCCAGGCACTGTCCTGCCAGTGGGGGTGGGGGTGGGGACGGTGCCATGGGGTGACAGACAGTGGGCAAGGCCCCGGGCAGACGTGGAGCCTGGGCTGTTCTGGCAGTGCTGGGGTCCACAGGGTGCTGAGTGCTAACTGGAGTCGCATAAGCCACCCAAGACTCCCACCCAGCTGAAGGCCACATGGTGATGTACTCCTGAGCCCTACAGGAGACAGGCCATCCGGGACCACCTCCCACTCCCGAAGTGCCCCCTGGCTCAAAGCAGGTGAACATCTGAGAGCCCCAGGCTTGGCCCCTGCCCCTCAGAGGGAAGCACCTCGCACACAGTCTTCACGTTCTTGATGTCCCCGGCACACAGCATGTCCATCATAATATATGACAGGTGTCCGTAGAGCAGCTGGCACAGGGGCAGTGAGATCAGGGGCATCTGTGCCTCCTGCAGCTTGTCTGAGGTGTGGCCTGTCAGAAAGGAGTGCAGGCCCAGTGAGGGGTCCCCAAGGCACCTGTGGTCCTGGGGCCCAGCTGGCTCACCCTGAGGCTCCTCCTGCTCCGGACTCCTCATGGCTCCCTCTCTGCACTGGGGTGCCTGGTTTGCTAAGTGGGTATGAAATATATGTGTCACGTGAGTCTTCCTAAAGCAGCGGGAAGGGCCACGCCACGTTCTAGCCTGTTCCCTCCCACTGCTGCAGCTGGGGACCAAACAAGCCTCTGTCAGCCCAGTCCCCAGGTGGCTGAGTGGAGGGCACTGTGTGCAAAATAAAGAACCTCTGGGTTTTGCCGGTGTCACCCCTGCGTGCCTCAGTCTACCCCGATGGGCACAGTCATTGGTCCCAGAAACCTGTGCTCTCCTGCCCCATGTGTGAGAGGTTCCCATGGCTCTGGGCATTGCTCTGACTGAAGAAAAGCTGCTTGCACAGGCTGCAGACCCATGCGACCCTGGTGTCAAAGGGGTGCCCATTTGGGGAAGGCACAGCACCCTCCAGGGGCACCTGGGGAACCACTTTTGGAGCTAGAGAAGGTGACCCAAAGCAGGAGTCAGCAGCGTTTGTGGTTGACGCTGGCTGCGCAGGCAGGGCAATGTCAGGAGAGGAGCCACGGACAAGGCAGGTGGTGCAAACGGGCACGCAGAGCAACAGAGCACCCACAAACCAGGGTTTGCAGTGCTGGAAGAGGCAGCCCAATAAAGTGCATCGGGAAATACGCTGGCTGTAAACCTCTCAGGGCCTCCACTGTGACCACGCAGGGCAACAAGGAGTGCACTTCTCTCCTGCCATAAGCAAGCAGCAATGTGTCTGCACAGGACACAACTGCTTTCCTACATTGTGGCTGTCCAGGGAACACATAGCAGATGAGGCAAGACCTCAAGGGACCCATGCCCCTCGGGTGGGGAACGTCCCCAGGTACCCGGGCAGCTGGAACCCCAAGGTGGACACCACAGGGAGGGTGTTGCAGAGAGGAGGCGGCCCAGAGGGCACAGAGTCTCGGCTCCCTCAGCTTGCTGCTGGGTCCTGAGCCGTGCGTGCAGAGGGTACAGACAATCCCATGGGGAGGATGGGCAGAGGATGGTGGGGTGGACTCCACAGCCCCCAGAGCTCACAGGGGCCTGGGATACCGAGTTCCAGCCATCCCAGAGTGGAGAGTCTTGCTGACCACCCAGACAGTGGTGGAGACAGAGGACGTGTGGTGTAAGCTATCCATCACACTCTCACGGCCGCCACAGCCCCATGCAACTGGTGGATGGAGGACCAAACTGATGAGCCTGGCAGAGCACAAGGGAAGAGGTGGAAGGAAGATGTGCATGGAAAGCGGTCAGCAATAATTTCAATGGCTTGTGTAGGTGTGGCCAGCACACCAGCTCAGAATGCTCGGAAGCCACAGGAGAGGTTTGCACTCACTAGTAGGTCTTTCCTCTAAGTCTCCACCGAGAGCCATGGGACAATACAGGAGACAGGGCAGGGGTCCAGAGAGAGAGCCCCTCCACGCAGGAGGCCAGGGGATGGCCAGCTGCCACCGGAGGACTGCAAGAGCACAGCTTGCTTCCTTTTTCACCTGTGGACCATGAGCCTTCCATTGGTCGGGAGGACCAAAAGATACTCTTGTCCCAGGACACAGAGTCGAGTGCAGCTGCCCCAGGTGTGCCAGCAACTGTGCACAGAGGCCCATTTCCAATGGGCCCACAGCACTGCCAGGGACCAAGGCTGGACCAGGGCAACTCAGGGATCCTCCTCCCCAGCACCAGTTGCCCTCCAGAGGGTAGGTGACAACGTGCCACGGGTGTGCAGAGGTGCTGAGGTGAAAGGAGGAGCGGGAACAGAGAGACACCCCAGGCCCCACATCCAGCAGCCACCACGGAGGGACCTGAGCCTCTGGTGCACTGAAGGCAGCCGATCAACAGCAGAACCTGCAACCCAGCTCAAATTCTCACCAGACTGCCCCGCCCTCGCCACCCCACTAATGACTCAGCAGAGAAGGGTCTATTCTGGGGTTCACAGGCTTCAGTTCTAAATGTTCTACAATGTCTGGCATTCAACAAATATGTAACAGATACACATGCATGCATACACTCACACATGAACTCACACCCATGCACGTGCACCCCTCACCCCATATGCATACATGCACGTGCACACACCTGTACATGCACATGCACACACACATGTACAAAGGCACACGTGTACACAGGGGGTGGTCTATGAATCTGTCCTTGTGCTAGAATCACATTGTCTTGATATCTATAACTTTACAATATTTCGAAAGTGGGAACTGTGAGTCTGTCCAGCTTTGATCTTCTCCTCCAAGAGTGTGTTTTGGCTACATAGGGACCCTTCCAATTCCATATGAACTTAAGAATCAACTTTTCCATTTCTTCAGAAAAGGCACTGGACATGCAGGCCACTTTGGGTGGTGCTGACATTGTGACAATTTTGTCTTCTAACCCGTGAACACAAGCTGCCTTTCCATTTATTTAGGTCTTTCAAAATCCCCCTCGGCAATGTTTTGTAGCACTTGGTTTACAGGTCTTCACCTCCTTGGCTGAATTTACTAAAGGTAGCTTTTTTTTCAGATGATGTAATATTATTTTCTTAATGTCATTTTGTGATTGTTCACTGAAGGCATATAGAAACTCAGTTAACTTTTGTGTGTGTTGATCTTTATCCTGCAACTTTGCTGAAATTGTTTCTTGTTTGTAGTGGTTGGTTTTATGTGTTGGTTTTTAGGATTACTTTGAATTTGGGTGACTTTTCTTTCTTTTTCTTGCCTAATTTAACTGTCTGAAGCTTCTGGTACAATACAAAATGTCAGCGGTGAGAGGGGCCTTCTTATCCTGCTCATGATTTTAGGCATCAGTTGTCCACCTTTCTCTGCTGGGTAAGATACTGGCTGCGGGTTGTTCATAAATGTCCTTAGTCGTGCCAAGGAAGTACTCCCCTCTTCCTACTTTTGTTTTTTTATATTTTATTTTATTTTATTTTTCATTTTTTATATGAAATTTATTGTCAAATTGGTTTCCATACAACACCCAGTGCCCATCCCAAAAGGTGCCCTCCTCAATACCCATCACCCACCCTCTCCTCCCTCCCACCCCCCATCAACCCTTAGTTTGTTCTCAGTTCTCAACAGTCTCTTATGCTTTGGCTCTCTCCCACTCTAACCTCTTTTTTTTTTCCTTCCCCTCCCCCATGGGTTCCTGTTAAGTTTCTCAGGATCCACATAAGAGTGAAACCATATGGTATCTGTCTTTCTCTGTATGGCTTATTTCACTTAGCATCACACTCTCCAGTTCCATCAAAACCTTAGAGGAGAAAGCAGGAAAAGACCTCTCTGACCTCAGCCGTAGCAATCTCTTACTTGACACATCCCCAAAGGCAAGGGAATTAAAAGCAAAAGTGAATTACTGGGACCTTATGAAGATAAAAAGCTTCTGCACAGCAAAGGAAACAACCAACAAAACTAAAAGGCAACCAACGGAATGGGAAAAGATATTTGCAAATGACATATCGGACAAAGGGCTAGTATCCAAAATCTATAAAGAACTCACCAAACTCCACATCCGAAAAGCAAATAACCCAGTGAAGAAATGGGCAGAAAACATGAATAGACACTTCTCTAAAGAAGACATCCGGATGGCCAACAGGCACATGAAAAGATGTTCAGCGTCGCTCCTTATCAGGGAAATACAAATCAAAATCACACTCAGGTATCACCTCACGCCAGTCAGAGTGGCCAAAATGAACAAATCAGGAGACTCTAGATGCTGGAGAGGATGTGGAGAAACGGGAACCCTCTTGCACTGTTGGTGGGAATGCAAATTGATGCAGCTGCTCTGGAAAGCAGTGTGGAGGTTCCTCAGAAAATTAAAAATAGACCTACCCTATGACCCAGCAATAGCACTGCTAGGAATTTATCCAAGGGACACAGGAGTACTGATGCATAGGGGCACTTGTACCCCAATGTTCATAGCAGCACTCTCAACAATAGCCAAATTATGGACAGAGCCTAAATGTCCATCAACTGATGAATGGATAAAGAAATTGTGGTTTATATACACTATGGAATACTACGTGGCAATGAGAAAAAATGAAATATGGCCTTTTGTAGCAACCCTCTTCCTACTTTTTGACTGGCTTTTTTTTCTTCATGAAAGGACATTGGATCCAGTCAGAGGCTTTTCTGCATCACTTGAGCTGAACATATGGGTTCCCCCTTCATTCCTTTAATGTGGTGTGTTCTATTGGTTAATTTTTGCATGCTGAGCCTCCTTTGTATTCCTGGGACAAATAACACTTTGTTGAAGTGTATAATCCTTTTTAAATGTTTATTTATTTACTTTTTGAGGGAGAGAGAGAACTCAAGTGGGTGAGTAGGAGAGAGAGAGGGCAAGAGAAATCCCAAGAAGGCTCCGTGCTGTCAGCCCAGAACCCGATGCTAGGCACAAGCTCACGAACCATGAGATCATGACCTGAGTTGAAACCAAGAGTCAGACACTTAACCGACCAAGCCACCCAGATGCCCCAAAGTGTATAATCCTTTTAATGTGCTGTTTTTTTATTTTGATGGCATAATGGTATGCATGTATGTATGTTTTATGTATGTATTAATTATATAATTTATTGTCAAATTGGTTTCCATAAAACACCCAGTGCTCATCCCAACAGGTGCCCTCCTCAATGCCCATCACCCACTTTCCCCTCTCCCCCACCCTCCCATCAACCCTGAGTTTATTCTCAGTATTTAAGAGTCTCTTATGGTTTGCCTCCTTCCCTATATGTAACTTTTTTTTCTCCTTCCCCTCCCCCGTGGTTTTCTGTTAAGTTTCTCAGGATCCACATAAGAGTGAAAACATATGGTATCGGTCTTGCTCTGTATGACTTATTTCACTTAGCATAATACCCTCCAGTTCCATCCATGTTGCTGCAAAAGGCCAGGTTTTATTCTTTCTCATTGCCAAGTAGTATTCC